TTTTTTTTTTTTTTTTTTTAACACCAGGCACACAACACAAATCGGCATGGCACATATGGGAATTTATATAGGAATTGATGATTGTGGTTACCACCCACGGACAGAAATGTTTTGGGGCCCCCAACCCCTCAACCCCTCAACCCCATCTTGTCTCCTCCTTGGACCTCATAGTGCGGTGGGATCCCGGGCCATCACCAGCATAGTGCATTGAGTTTAGTTCGCCGACTGGACGAATTGGTGTTGAGTGTTTTGCCGCAGCGCAAACGGCGATTCGCGATTCGGAAGATGTGGTGGGGCAGAAAGAAGGCGGTGGTGATTTCTAGAGACTTTGGAGACCAGCGAGGTTCCCGGATTCCCCACTTTTGCGCAGCTTTAAGTGCTCTGAATGCCAAGACCGAACCCCCCATCTCCCCCAACGGCCCAATGGCATTTGTGATTCGGCGAATGGGCTGGCAGCCAAAAAGTTGACATGCATGGTTGTCCCAAGTGCTTCCGTCCTGTCACGACGACCTTCTTTCGTAACCCTTTGCGAACTTTCACTTCTCTCCCCTCTCCATCAAACAAAAAAAAAAACGCACGGCGTTTTGGTTCAGCTTGTCCCCCGCCATACCGCTCGAGTTGCTGTCCACTCACACTCCTTGTTTTTGTCTGATATTTTAGATGTCGTGGTAATTCCCTACTAGCTACTTGGCCCGCACGCATTATCTATCTACCGACGAAACCCGAACCCTCTCTCCTCTCCGCGTATATTACCCATCCACATCTAAAAAGATCCAAGATGAACTCCTCCGTTCTGCCCAAGGCAGCCCTCCCGGCTCGCCAGTTCTCCCCCGCGCAAATATGTCGTCGCCAAAGGTTTAGAACATGCGCCGGCAGGAAGGCTTCCGCTGCTGGCTTTACTGTAGTTGCTAGGCCTCGCAACAGCCGCTGCTCAACGACACCCACTTCTCCGACAAGTCCTGTCTCGAAGCCAAGGGTAGGTCCCGTCCCGATGACGTCTTGTTTTACTCTTTTGCTCCGTGCATTTCAAAGCCCCCCCATTGCTGACCAACTCCTTTTGCTTGATCACTACAGACCTTCCACACTACCAACCGACTGCTTGCTACACCTCGCGACCCCTACGGCGTACTGGGTGTTGACAAGAGCGCCTCGCAATCCGACATCAAGAAGGCCTACTACGGTCTAGCCAAGAAGTACCACCCCGACACGAACAAGGACGCCAACGCCAAGGACAAGTTCGCCGAGATCCAGTCCGCCTACGAGATCCTATCCGACCCCGAGAAGAGGAAGCAGTTCGATCAGTTCGGCGCTGCCGGCTTCGACCCTTCAGGTGGCCACCCTGGCCCCGGCGGTGATCCTTTCGGTGGCGCGCACCCCTTCGGCGGCGGCTTCGGCGGACGTGGCGGCTTCGGCGCAAATATCAACCTCGATGACCTCTTCTCAGCATTCACCGGCGGTCGCGGTGGTCCCTTTGGGGGCGGCGGCGGTCGGGGTCCGTTCCAGCACGAGATTTTCGAGGGTGACGACATTGAGGTACAGGTGCAGGTGTCGTTCATGGAGGCGGCCAAGGGAACAAAAAAGACGGTTACGATCCTGCCCTTGACGGAATGCGGCACATGTACCGGCAGCGGTATGAAGAAGGGCACTCAGAGGTCGACCTGCAAGTCCTGCGGCGGTACCGGTCAAAAGGTGGTCACGGTGATGGGCGGTTTCCAGATGGGCACCGTCTGCAACGCCTGCAGCGGCAGCGGCATGGTGACGCCCAAGGGATCCGAGTGCAGGACCTGCTCGGGCGACGGCGTGGTGCGGGAGCGCAAGACGATGGTGGTCGACATCCCCGGCGGTATCGAGGACGGCATGAAGCTACGGATCAGCGGCGAAGGCGACGCGCCCCCATTAGGCAGACAATCGAACCCCAACGCCCAGGGCACCAAGGGCGACCTGTTCGTCCACGTCCGGGTTGCGCCCGACCCCAAGTACCAGCGCCAGGGCTCCGACATCCTCTACACGGCGACGATACCGCTCACCACGGCCATTCTCGGCGGCGAAGTCACCATCCCCACTCTCGAGGGCGACGCCAAGGTCCGTGTCGCCACCGGCACCAACACAGGCGACAAGATGACGATGGCCGGCAAGGGCATGCCCAAGCTCAAGGGCCGCCGCGGAGCCAAGGGCGACCTCCGCGTCGAGTTCCGCGTCAACATGCCCAAGTATCTGAGCCCCAACCAGCGCACGATAATCGAGATGCTAGCGGACGAAATGGGCGACAAGACGGCCAAGCGCGTCATGAACCTTCACAAGTCCTCATCGTCGACGTGAGACACCCACCCAAACTCCGGCATATACTCCCCCCCTCTTTTTTGGATTATTATTCCTTAGATAAGAGAGAGTCTTACGGTTCTTTGGTTGTGTATGAAACAAACATCCAGCTAACTTTTCGACGCTGCGTCTAACAGGTCTGAGAACTCTTCTTCTTCATCGTTCACCAATAACTCTGATTCTCTCGACCCCGAGGACCACAAGAATGAGGGGTTCCTCAAGTCGTTGTGGCATAACTTGACCAACCATCCTGCTCATCAGCAGAAGGATGGAACGGAAGGGTCGACGGAGACGGAGACTAAGAAGGATGGCGAGAGTGAGAATAAGGATGATACCAAGAAGGAGTAGACGTGCCTTTCGGTCTGAGGAATTCGAAAAAAGAGGGAAATTGCATCATCCCATCTCGGCGTTGGTGGGTGGAGATGACATCGGACTGGTAGCAATTTTGCCGGTTTGGTTATCTGTTTCCTTAAAACGCACACGATAATGAGACGTTTTTCTAGACGTCTTTCTACATTGGCTACCTCGAAAAGGAGAGATTGGAAGCGGGCACACCGCGGGGCGGACGACTTGTTTTGCATTGACGGTGTTTTGTTTGATGGACGGCGGTGGCATAGATCGTTACGACGACGAGCTCAAAGACCCAGAAATGGAAAGGGGAAGAGGAGATGAAGGAATTGTATATCTAAGATGGTGAGATGTTGCTGTAAGTTTTTACCCAGACAAGATCAGATGAGATGAAAAATGGCATGTACACTATACACACTACTCTAGATACCGAGAAGAACGCAATTTGGATTCAGCTGCTGTTCTGTACTTATAGACCACTTCACTTGGCAAACTTTTTCCTACATATACAGAAGCAACAAAGAAAAACACGATTTCATCCTCAACCCCCCTTCCCTTCACACAGTCTCTCACGCTTTCACATCTCTTAGCAGCCACCACTCCTCCCCCCCTCGCCCCTAAAAGCATCATCCGTCTCCCCTCTCACAACCTCCTCCTCGCCAACCACGCAAGGCGGAACACTTACCGTGCGATTCCCTGCATCGACAGCACTCTCCCAAATCCATCCCTGCCCACAATCCTGCTCCCTAACAAAGGCATACCCGATATTCTCCCCCGCCGACAACGGCACCTTAGCAAACCACAGCGGCCTTTCACTAGTATAGTTACTACTCTGCATCGGAATTGCCTGCCCCAAATCCCAGTTCCCCAAGTCCGAAGAGTTTCCCGTCAAGTAAATATTTTCGCCATAGTAAGTGCTGGCGTTGACTTGGAACAAGATGGTCGATTGGCAAGTCACATTAAGCTGGGGGGCGCCGGCCGAAGTAGCTGGGGCGTAGGTCCCCTTATAGGAGGTGCCGGCGCACTGGGAGGGGGGCTTAAGAAGAAGGGAAGAGGATGAGGTAGGGACCCAAGACGGAGGAAACTGCTTATTACGGCGATGCGTCATGGAAAGGAAGGAAGCAAATGACCAAGTCAAATTATCTGCCGAGATCGGTGTCCCGGGCGCAGTTTTGAGGAATTGTTCCGCTAGCGAGCCGGAGGGTGGGGTGTACTTTTGTACGACGGAGACAAAACTGTCGGCGTAGGCCGTGACGGCGTTTAGGATTGCGGAAAACGGGGAGAGGACGTTGAGCACTGGCCAGGCGCGGTAGACAGTTCCTGCGCGGGCGAGGGAGGGGGAAGGGGAGATGGACTTGAAGAATGCGAGGTTGGTTTTGTCGATACTGACAAAACCCTGGCGTTCCCACTGCGCTACCGCGTCGTACAAAAGTTCGGCTGCGCCGAGGGTTATCAAGTACCACGGGTTGCCGGTGTAGTAGATATCCTCCGGGTAGCGGCCCAGGGCGACACCTTTGGTTTTGGGGATGTTGGCGTTGATAGGATATAGATTGGGGTCGCGGAAGGTATCGACGAGGACCTTGAAGGTACTTAATACCTTGCTATGGCAAGGTTGTAGGGTTGGGGAATCGCAGGGCGCGTTGACGTCGAAGGAGGCCAAAGGCCCCAAGAGGGTGTTGGCGTCTATGCCTGATCGGAAGGAGCCGATGTTGATGTTACCGAGCAAATGGCCCTTGGAGGCATCGAAGAAGGCGGGGGAGTTGAGGAAGCAGAGGATTTGCGGGGCTTGGGAGGTGCAGGCTTCGCAGGAGAGACCCCAGAGAGGAGGCGAGTTGCGAGCCGGTGACTAAAGACCGGTATTGCGACTGGGTGGTGAAGAAGGAGGTGCCGGAGACTTCTTCCCAGAGGTCGAAGGTTGTTGAGTTCCTTTTTTCGGTCCCAGGGCTGTTAGTCACCTTGCACCTCTAACATACCATGAACGTCGGACGGTCGGTTGGGAAGGAAAGAAGAAAAGAAAAGAAAAGAAAAGAAAAGAAAACTAACCAATACTGCCCCACATAAGCCAAATCATTCGCAATAACCGGCCAAATCACCTCCTTCACCCTTTTCTTGTCTCCCCTTTTTGACAAGATAATTGCTATACTCAATCAAAGCAATCGCTCTCAGCGCGGGTCCGTCTCTTTGCGGCCGGCCCCAGTTGCCGTTATACCGGCTTCCATCGGCATTGAACTTGGGTTCGCCCAGCCCGGCTCCCGAGGGGAGAAGCTTGCCGGAGGGGTTGGTGACGGTTTGCAGCACGGCCTGCGAGTGGATGTAGTCTTCGATGTAGGGCTGGAGAGCCTTGTTACCGAAGAGGAACTCGTCCACCAGGGTTTTGTAGGTTAGGGCCGCGTCGCGGGTCCAGGTGTAGAAGTCTGCAGATAATGAAAGCTCGTGGTCAGTATGGTACTGATGATGTGTTTGGTTATGGGATAATGGTGTCTGTTGACTGACAGTTGGGATTCTCCTTGGTAGGACTGGCAATGACGATGCCGGGTCCTGCGCCTGGGACTCGAGCGCCGTTTGGTCCAATATTGGCGAGGACTCCGTCGAGGGCGATCTTTTGTTCTATTTGGGAGTTTGATGTCAGTGTGATCATCCTATGTTGAAGACACTTAGAAGCGACGGTTCTTACCAGTGCCAATGAAGGACTTCAAAGAAACACCCTGAGGCCATGGCTTCTTGTCCGTGGCAGCAGCACAAACGGCAGCCGGCCATGCTACCAGCCCAGCAAAAACAACTTGGGTGAGATGAACCATCTTGAGAGAGCTTGAGGATCGGAACCGGAGACAGTGAGCCTGATGAGAAGGAGGAGAAGGGGCTGGTGAAGATTGTCGGAAGGGCAAAGAAGATCGTGGTGTACGACAAGATGTATGGGGTATATATACTTTCCACTTCACTTTCAACCACCCTCCTCAGATAGGCAGGCCTAAGAGGGTGACATTGACCAACATACCAATCATGGGTCTGGACCAGAAAGCCATCAAACGATGTAAGGTAGGTAGACAATCCTTCCCCATGAGAACCTTGATCCTCATTCCCCAGACAACCACCATCTCTACCCCCAGAAGTTTATCTCCAGCTTCTCGACCTTAACGAATGGGGAAAGTCTCGAATCATCAGTTGGAGAACCACTTCCACATAAACCGAAGAAACATTGGAATAGTAACTCATGACGTTGTATAGAGACAGGGGGGCCGACTAAGTCAGAGGTTCTCCGCATCGGCTGGGCCCATCTCCTCCTTCATGGTTTACCTGGGCAGTCTGCAGTCAATAGAATGTGTTGAATCGGCCCGCGGTGAGTTGCATTGTGTTTAGCATGTTTGGTAGTCCATCGCAATATTCGAAGTGTCCGGGTCATAAGTAGCGTTTCCTGGATTCCTCAAAGTTCACTACAGTCCAATACTGGTTTGTTTGTTAGCTTGAGACCTTCGGTTATCATTCCTAGGCGTTTACATATCTAATCCATCCGTTTCGTTCCATATCAAAGGCACAATCCTACATTGTACATACCTTTTTAACTTCTAACCACACCTTTCTCTACTGTACTCAACCACTGAATCTTAATCCTTGTAAGGTTTGGGGCAATTCGGGGTAGATCTTGTCCAATATGATAGGGGAGCCGTGTTAACGGACAAATCAGCATTATATTGTACGTAGTTCGCCGTTGTTGTGAGGGGAAGCGTAGCGAACGTAGCATCGAAAGCAGGAACTGCTTCTCTTATCCCCGCAAACGGACTACGTACCTAGCGAACGGGATGACTTTTACTTTAGTTTCTTTTTTCCCGTTTACGTATGTGCCCCAACGCCGAGGCAGCCCCCATCGGGCTTCACCCACCTAGCCGAGTCGACGTGATATATTCCAAGTGCGCCCGAGTAATTGACCGAGTCGCACCGACCAAGCCGCCTCGGTGGGAATACGACCGACGCGGCATTGGCGAGAGAGATATCAATGAACGAGCATGTGTTTTCATTCATGAGATTTTCTGAAATTAGTTGTCCTTTGTCTCATTACATTCAATATTCTTTACCTCCTTCCTATCTACTTACCTACGTACATACAGTATCCAGACATTGCTTTCTTGTCAAGCCTAACCAGTAACATAATCTTCGTTATTTGATGATGATACAGGTGTGCCCAATATGTATACTCCAATTCGTGATACTTACCCTTCTATCCTCAACCGTTAACCTTGTCCCATCATAATAGTATGTTGAAAACGCCCCGAGACTCCGATACCGGATTTGAATACAAAGCTATTTTCCTGAAATTCCTCATCACCAATGTCCAACTCGTTTACTCTCTGTCATCAAGGCCTTGTTTCCTCCCGAACTTCCACCTATATTTGGAATGTTAATAAGCAAGATTAGGCAGCAGGACTGGGGAGCTCCTTCATCTCCTGACTCGCCGTATTCCTCGGCGCTGGGGAATAAGTCGCTTGCCGCTCTTGCTCCACCCTCTGATCACTGGATCTAGGGCTGCCCTTAGCCGAGCCGGGAGACCCAGGTGTCATATGTGCCGGCGGCGGCTTTGTCAACACCCCTCCTGAATGCCTGCCCTCGGATGCGAGTGACTCTCTCCTGGAATTCCGGCTTCTGAGATGTTGTCGCTGAAGACCTTCCGCTGGGGCTTCTTTTTTGGTCATTATCAACCCGTTCGTTGTTGATCCTTCTTCCGAGGGACCGTTGGGTGGGAAGGATGATGACGGACGGAGCAGACCTTCGTTGGGCTCTTGAGGTCCAGTTGCGAGAGGCTGTGCCGGCGGTGGTCCTTGTCTCCCCTTCTTGACGCTCTTCCACTCCATTCCGAAAGCGCAGAGCAGAGAAGCAAAGGCGAGGCCCATGGCTGCTAGGAAAATGCGCTGGCAGGCATAATTATATGCGTCAAGCACGCGGCCTTTGTACTCTGGCGGTACTTCGTTGGTGAGCTGCGTTGCGCCCTCGTTGACGATGACATGGCCTCCGATTCCAGGGATTCCGGACAGTTTCTTGACGAGGAGGTTGCTGAGGATGGTCTGACCAACTGATGTGAAGACAGCACCGCCCAGTTGTTGAACAAAGAAGTTAATGGCAATGCCTGTGCTAACATCTTCCTTGGGCAATACCGTCTGGATGGCCAAACCTGAAGTCTGCATTCCAAAGCCGAGACCGAACCCTGTTAGGAACTGGAAGGCGACCCAGTGCGAAGACGGACTGCCCGGGTTCAGTGTGCTCATGAGACCCTCACCAACGGACATGATTGAGGGAGCAACGAGCATAGATGGTACATAATATCCGATCTTCTGGGTAATGATACCGGCAATGATACTCGAAACGACCAGGCTGAGAACGAGCGGGAGTGTGTAGATACCCGACTTGATAGGATCGACCTGCTTGACGGTTTGGACTGATAACAAGGTGATTGGTCAGCTGGAATTCGGATGAAAAGGAGCAGTGTTTGAAAGAAATCTTACACCATATTGGTACGTAATAGACCATCATAAGCATAGACCCTGCCAAGAAGAAGGTAAAGGAGGTACCAAAAGCCACGCTCCTCTGTGTTATGATCTTTGGCGGCACCATAGCTGTCTTGGGTTTCAAAATCTGAACAACGATGAAAGCGGCGGTACATGCTCCGAAGACCGCGAAGAGGAGAATAATACGCCACGAGTTCCACGAATGGGTCGAGCCAGCCCACTGTAAGGCAAGCAAAAGACACACGGTTCCAGGGAGAAAGAAGATCATGCCGATAGGATCCAGACGTTTGATATGTACGGCAAGGCTAGCAGGTGCGCGCTTCTCTTTCGGCGGGTTCCAAAAGAAGACCATGAAGATAAAGCTAACAGCACCGACGGGCAAGTTGATGTAGAAACACCAACGCCATGTGGCACCGCTCGTGAAGGCTCCGCCGATCAAGGGGCCCATAACCGACGCGATACCGAACACCATGCCGAAGAGACCTTGAAAGGCAGGCCTGCGGTGTAAGGGGATCATAGGGATCATGATCAACATGCAGCCTGAGAAGATACCGGCAGAAGCCATGCCGGCAATTGCGCGGCCGACAATAAAGACGGTTGAGTTCGATGCCGCACCGCAAATAGCAGAGCCAATTTCGAAGACGACAACGCTGCCTAGAAAGACCCTATAGAAGGAGAGTTGTTGTTAGCCTCTGTATCCACTTTGCTATTTAACCACAACCGGATGAGGATACTGACCATTTCATATCATAAACCTTGTAGATGCGCCCATATACAAGTTGAGCACATGATGTGGTCAACATGTAAGCGGAGCCATACCATCCAATATCGCCCAAAGCATTGAACTCGTCCGAGATGCGTGGAACGGCGGTCGCGATGATTGTCCTGTCGAGAGCGACGAGAAACAGCGCCATAAAGTTGCACAACAGGGTCAACCAGAACATTAAACTCTTTGGCTTGTACAGATCGTCCTCTGTTGGCTGTGGTGGGCCCGCAGGCGGCGGAGTGGGCGAAAGCTTTTCGACATCGTTAGGTTCTGCCATGCTACCAGCAGCGCCCCTAGACTCGTCTCGCGGGCGGTTGTGATGGCTTGACTTGCCACTGCTACTGAGGGACGTGGTGGACTGCGAGACGGTAGCCATTATGGATGGGTTGGTTCGGAACAGTTGGTGGGAGGTCGCAGAAAGATGGAGAGCAAGGCGACGGGGCCCCGGGGGAAAAGGAGGACCAGCCTTCCGGACGGACGGGGGGCGGGGCGAGGACAGAGTGCGACCGAGACACTTGTTGTGATCCGGTGACCGATGGGGGGTTCGTCCTGGGATCCTATGTCGAACAGGTCTCGCCTCGTTGGTTTTCCTTCTCCTCCTGTTCCTGGTGTTCCTCCTCTCTGCTTCTCTCCTTCTTCTCGTGCCGGACACTGGCAGCCTTTGGTGACGAAGGGGACCAGCCTTGAGGTCTCACAAAACGAGTTCGGGTAATCAGACGAAACAACAAACGGCCGGGCCGGCTAATTGGTCATGCCTCAACACGACAATCGTCCAGGTATGAGGTTCTGGAATCGTGTGGTTGTTGAGATGAGACGTAACGAGGTGAGGTTTAGGTGATGCAGGGTGAGGTGACGCACGGGAAGTGAGGTGAGCGAGTGAGCCAAGCCTTTCAGGAGATGTGGGAAGTACCTATGTAAACAAAGATCTTATAACGAGAAGCAAGTAAACAAGTGAACCACATCAGAGATGCGTCTGAGATATGCCGAACCAAATGTGCTTGTTTGCGTATGTACTAATGATGCTTACTGCCGTAGATGTATCCTGGCTGTTGTTTTAGAAGCACAGAAAAAAAGAAGAAGAAGAGGGAGAGCAAAGTAAAAGAAGGAAAAAAGGCAGTGTCGCGGACGCGGTTGTCTATATAAGACACGTTCTTGGTCTCGGACATAAAAAGCAACCAGCGTGGAGACATTTTGACAGCCCCCGGAGGCTGCCTGGCCTGCTACGGGCAGGCGTAGATGACGGGTGACGGCAAGTATGGGACCGTGGACCCGTGGATTTCCATATCCATCCGTCAAACCATCTATTAACAAGCACGTCGGGCCCTCCACCTTGGCCCACGGCGCCGCGTCAGGATGACTGTGGTCCGAAAGGCCTGAGTTACATGGACATGGACCTGGGACGCACATCCATCGGGACATGTGGGAATGCAATCCATCATGTGCTTTCACTAGGAATTTCCAGATTCCTCAGTGGTTCCCATGTACTTTGTATGGTTCAAGTAGAGCCATGTAGACTCTAGACCCGGACAGGAGGCATGCTGCCCTATGTTGTCGGGATATGCATCTTGGATATTGGATCATGAGTGCGAGATGGATGGAGGGACGGACGGGGAACCGAGTCAAAGAAGGAGGAAGAAGGGAGGCGGATGAACTGATAGGCGAAGTGAAGCGAGTGGCTATCCTTTTCCATCTTCGCCAACCCAAGGGCTGCTATCTTGGGCATTGAAGAGCGTGTTGGTGTTCCCAAGTCCATCACTGCAATTTGTCAACGAGGGAAAGACGTCGGAGCATCGGAGCTTTGGGTGCAGACTCTGCATTCCACTTACTTGCTCTGTCCTCCCTGAGCGCCAATTGCCTGTTTCTCACCTCATTACCCGGACCACTCCTGCCTATCCTGTGTGTCTCTTCCCATCTCGCCTGGCCAAAATGGCATCGTGTACCTTGCGCCAAGCAAAGAAAGGGAAGGAGTTCCCCATCGCAAGATCCGCTCCTGCAGCCAGGTTGGAGGTTCCATGAGCGCGGCTTCGTGTGGAGCTGGACGGGGGAGGAAAGGAAGAGCCTTCGTGCCTTCCTCGTTTGGTCTTGGCTTTCGGCATGCGGCGCCATGGCTTTTCTCAAGGCTTAGCGTCTTCAAGTGCCGTTGTACAATTAAATGGCACAGACGGAGGTCGGCGCACGCAAGAACCGACGTGTTTTTTGGTTATCTTTTCCAGCGCTCGTCTCCAGTGATCTACAGGTGGGTTTAGCGGCTCTTAGTGGGCATCAGCACCTTGTCCGTGCCCTATGATCCGCTGAGTGGAGGTTCGGCTGGACCCGAGCTCCGCTCTCAACCTCATTCCATTCAGGCCGAATCCACTTTTCGCTTCTGGGCTGAATTCTTCGGGTACGAAAGAGAGCTCTCGGTCCCGAAACTTGTCATCCAACAACCGGGGTCCCAGGAAGGTACCTCGTCGCGCTCCTGCATCATCTCGTTCAGTTTCTTTCTTGGCTCTTTGCGCAATATCTACAGTGCCGACATCACTGCAGTCATTACCATGGCAGTGCGAACATCGTTTCCCTTCAATCCGTTAGGGGCCTGGTGCGCCTTGGGACATCAGAGATCAAGCAGTTGAGCCGTTCTTACAGGTATCATGGTAATATTCCGACGTCATGCTCCTCACGCCCATCAGAAAGCAGCAGCATCAGCGGAAGCGAAATGTCAGGGCACAATGCAATTGATCCCGTCAAGGATGCACAAATAACTGCGATATCCCGCTGCCAACTCTTTCTCACGCCTTACATAGACACACACCAAAAACAGAAAAAGGGACCAAGCATCTCGGTACCCCCAAAGGTGCGCAGTAGGGCTGGCTTGTCAACCCATAGGCTGGCGAGCAAGCTGATTCGACAGCGCTTCCAAGTCCAACTGCAGTTACCATGCCCATTCCGTCCCTTCACGCATCTTGCACCCACCGATGCACAGTCACCGTCACTGTGGGAGAGTGTGGCAGTGACAACTGACGACTGACGGAGAAACACTTTGGCCAGATGTCTCCAGTCCAGTCCCCCTTCGATCCAAAGGACACAACTCGTATCAGGACGTATCGAGCATATAGACCGACATCGTATCGACGGATCCAGCAAGGCGTGCGCTGCCTAGGTAAGAACCCCGTTGTCGCGGCGGGGAAGAACAAAGAAATCAAGGCCAAGTCCACGGACTGTGAAGAGGTGAGAGAGGGGAGACCAAAGAGGCCACGGGACTGGACCCGGGGCTGGGGGGAAAGGGCAGTCTTAAGCTGGACACTTATCGTCCACCACCACAAGGCTTAGCAGTTTGCAGCAGGCAGAGACGGCCTGGGACTGGAACCCGGGACGAGCGGTCAGGATGTGTGGACTTGAAGTGTCTGGACAGGATCTAAGCTTTAGCGAGCCATCATACCGGTATGCCTGTTGCTTGCTTGCTTGCCTCTCGCTCATTTTCCTTTCCCTCGGGTTCGTTGGCTTGATTGCTACTGCTTTGGGTTCTCCTGCTGCTGCTTCTGACTGCTTTTCATCGCCTTGCTCCTCTCGTCGGGGTTGGTTCCAGTTTGCTTGCGTCTTTTCCTCTTCTCTCCGAGTCATCATCCTTTTTCCGTTTTCTTCGTCGTTCAACACACAAAATCCACAGTTGAGCGGGACAATCCATCACCCAACAGCCTGGAACAGGAACAAGCGCATACAGGCGCATATCATTTCAGATCACTTAATCTTGTGTTGCCGGAAGCGCATCCAATCGCCCGCCTTCCTTTTTGGCAACTGAACCCCTCTGCTGGCCACGCTTTCTTCGCTTTGCCGGGTCTCCTTGCCTCAGCCCAGCATTCTACGGATACCAACGCAAGGTAGGTGCTATTGACCTGACTCCTTCTTTTTCCCAGCGGTCGGGCACTTCGGGTGCTTCGAGGGCTCTTCTGGTCCCGAGCCTCCACTCCCTCCACTCTAGTTACCTTACTCTGGCACTCCCTCGACCAGCCTACCAGCAGCAGCCGACCAGCCTTTCGCTACCTCAGTCAGTCTGTCTCGGCAGCGCACCCCGGACCATCATTTATCTCCATACGCCTCTAGAGATTCGACGCATCTCTAATTCGGGTGTGGCTTTTTCTGCGCCTGTCTTGCTGGCAGCAGCGGGTCGTCAGGCCACCGGCCTCCCGGGTTCCAGATTCGGCCAAGGAATCAATCCAGACGGTCGGATACTGGATGCTGGACCTTGAGGACAAGATTGACATCAACCGGTGTCGGTGTCTGTCTGGAAATTGGACCTTGAAGTTTGGACCTCCAACATCCAGTCGAGGTACCTTGATTCGCCTCGTTACATACAATCGGTACCTACCCTGGCCTTCGCTACTACTACAACACCCATCGACCGTCGTCCATCGATTAGATACCTGTACATGCAGTGGACGACACTCTGCTTCTGCACACCTTACTGGCGGCACACACACTCTCACACACACTCTCACACATACACTCTCTCACACACACTCTCTCACACACTCTCTCTCTCACACACACGCACATACTGGCATACATCCCTCACACGCGGAAATCCCACATCCATTGCAAGCTCCCACTGTCCTGCCATTCTCTCACATCTGGTTGTCAAGTCTAGATATCGACGACTAAAAGGAAGGTAGAAGGTACCCAACTACTACATCACCCCTCCAGTTCCTCGAGTTCCCCACGGTATTCCGTCCGCGAGTGGTGCGGTTCAGCCACGGGGACACCATCCGCCATCCGTATCCGCTGTCAGGACTGGACCAGACGCGACGGGACCATAGGCCAAGGAAGCAGAATAAGCTGGGCGCAAGCTAACGGTATACTCAATACAGAAAGCAGAGAGCGGTACAAGTTCACCCTTTTGTAGTGGCTGTCCTGCGGCTCTGCACACAAGCATCTTGTCTTCAAGCCCTGGGTGACCCCGGGAACCGACCCCTGGCACGCCCACCACACGCCGTCAAGAGAGGAAAGCTGCAGAAACAAGTTGACGGGAACTGTGAGTCTGTGGTGACGCCAGCAAAGTGACGCCAGCAAAAAGTTACCTCACCCTTGGAAACAACGGTCGCCTGTGGTTGGGGCTTGCTAGGCGTGACCTGGTAGTCCTGGTAGTCCTGGCTCAGTAGAAAGCGCTCCCATACAACTGGCCTGGCCCACGGCTTCGCCAAGTCCCCGTCTCGGACCCGAGCGGCCCGTCTGCATCCGACCAAGCTTCACGCGGACCCCCCGCAACAAGGCTTTACATAAGTCAAAGGTAGTCGACTGGTATCCAACATGGATTCGGAGCTTACGCCGCCGGACCAGCGGCATGACTACCTCCATCAGCACCCGCAACCCCCGTTGCCGCCCTCCTCGTCGACGCCGGAG